TTGGTTAATATCCTCTAAAAACAATTTCAAAAAACTGTAGTAGAAGATTATAAATGACTTTTTATGTGATTGCATCCAGTGGTGCTTTGAAATAAAAACACAGTAAAGGGTATAAAAGCACTTGGTCAGAAAGGCTAATCCTGAGTTGATGTCATTTACATTTAGATTTAAATAAGTCAGCCTATTTATTCTTTCGAACTTTGCTTCAGGTTTTAAATGGAGAATACATGGAAATTAAAAGTCCTAGTATGCTTAGATATATTTTGAAAAGTTCTAATTCAGTTGACGTCTAAGAATAATAACTCTGATAAACATAAGGAGTGAGGAAATGTAATTAGTTACTTTTAAAACAATGCTGTTGTAACAGTTCTTAACAATGTTCATCTACTATGTGGTCCAGGTAAAGCAAACCAGGGGCATGAATGTAGCAATGCATACTTTGCCTTCCAGATCATGGGGTATGCAAGTGAGCCGTATATAACCACAGACAGTCATGGAGTCGGGCCCCCCATTTTTCTGAGTGATGGAGCATAAAGCAGTATGTCATAGTGGAAAACTCTTCCATTAGGAATCCAGGCCTTGATTTTAGTCCCAGATGGACCATGTGACTAAGAAAAAGTCAGTTTTTCCAATCATAATGTGAGAGCCTCAGATGGGATGCCCTCAGGGATCTTCCCAAGGCCAGAATTCTAGGGTTCCGTGCACTGTAATTCCACTTCAAATGACGAGTGGACGGACATGTGCCCATTACACGGAGGATGCACTTTAAGAATGGTGCATCTGCACAAGGCCTGTTGGGATCCTTGGGAACCAGCTCCCGAATAAGGTGTGGCTGGGCGGGGAGCTGTGAACAGTACACCGATGACCTTAGCCTGATGGGGTTTGTGTGTGGAGAGGGGCGGCGTGGGGGGAGGTGGGGGGATCATGGCCTACTTTTCTCCCTGTGCCCAATAGTCAGTCCAGCCGCAAGGAGAATGACTAAGCCTGTTCTGACGTACACACGTATTTTTGTTGGGCAACTAGAAATTCTTCGGAAAGAGGGCATAGACTTACTCACAGCCAGCTCTCTTGATTCCTGGCCCATCTATATGTTTTGAATTATACAAAAGTCTTGAGCAAGAACTACAGCTCGTATTTGAGTACTGGGCTTCTAGCTACTTCTGTACATTTTTAAGGGCCTCTGCTCCCAGAATAACCAGTTTTAATCTCCCGTAAAATAATGAGCTGACCCCGTTCCAAAGCCTTGAAACCTTTCTCTAAAAGCGAAATCTCATTTCTTTTCTTAAGCAATCACCTCCTCTAGGAAAATCATCTATTTAATCAAGCAAATACTATCTATTTTTTGTGAACGAGATATTTCCTGAGGACTGTGTGCTGGGTTCCAGGCTGCAGAGGCACTAAAGATAACGAAGATGTGCAGTGCGCCCTCTGATAGCGCCCACCTCAGTGCGGTTAGGCCCCTAATAACAAAACCTACCTGGAAGCAGAGGGCTCCCTGGGGAGGGGTGAGGTTGTTGGGGTGGGGGGGCAGAGGTTAGAGACAGCAGAGCCCTGACTAAGGGAAGCCGAGGGGTGTAAGAAAATACCATGGGCGTAAGAAATATTTCAGCAGGTAAAAGGGAAAAAAGGTATTGTGGACAAAGAGGTGTGAGTGCGTGTGGGACACACTGGGGCACAGGGAATGGGCGGCGGTGAGTCCGGAGACTTTCAGGGCAGAATCCACGTGGCTTCTGGTCCCCTAGAAGGCAAGCACAGCGTGAGACAGATGTCATCCCTTCAAGTGTTTTTACATTGTAGGTCCTCTAAAAATATGCTTCCAGAGCTTTTCAGTTAGGGTTTACAAGAAGCAGAACCAACAGAATGTGTGATTTATTATAAGAGATTGTCCCATTTGATGATGGAGGCTGAGAAGTCCAAAACTAGAGTGGGGAAGCTGGAAAGGTGAGCCAATGGCATAGTTTCAGTCCAAAAGCTGGCAGGCTTAAGACGCAAGAAGAGCTGATGTTTCCATTCGAGGCTGACAGCAGGAAAAGACGGCTGTGCCAGTTCCATCAGTCAGGTAGGAGGGGCTCCCTCGTACTCTGAGGAGGGTCAGCCTTTCTGTGCCTTTCAGGCCTTCAACTGATTGGATGAGGCCCACCTACAATAGGGAGAGTGATCTTCTTCATTCATTCTACCAATTCAAATGTTAATTTCATCCAAAAGTACCCTCACAGACATACCTGGGATAATACCGGACCCAATATCTGGGCACCCGGGGGCCCAAGTCAAGTTGGTACCAAATAAACCACCATCATATCACCTCTCAATATTTGAAGGCTTAATTATAAATATCTGGAGATATTCCACCTGCCTGATTGCTAGATTAGCGGCCCAGTACGACTCTTTTTTTTTTTTTTTTTAACATTTATTTATTACTGAGAGATGGAAAGAAACAGAGCATGAGCATGGGAGGGGCAGAGAGAGGGAGAGACAGAATCTGAAGCAGCCTCCAGGCTCTGAGCTGTCAGCGCAGAGCCTAACACGGCTGAAACCCACAAAGCGTGAGATCATGATCTGAGCCAAAGTCGGACACTTAACTGGACGCTTAACCACCTGAGCCACCCAGGTGCCCCGACTCTTGTTTTTCTGAACGTCTCACAATGCCTTAGAAATTCTGGATAATGTCTCCATGTTGAGATTTTGCCAACACTCTGCTTTGATAATTTATTGACACTGTTTTCGGAATTAGTAGCTAACTCATTATAATTCAGAATAATTTATATGTTCTGGTGGTTAAGTGCATGTGCTAGAAAGCTGCCTGGCTTTGAGTTCCAGCCCTTGCCTCTTAAGAGCTCTGTGACCTTGAGCATCTAGCCTAAATGCTCTGTGTCTCTGTGTCCCGTTTTGTAAAATGTGTGTCATATTAATGCCAAACTCTTGGTTGTTTTGATGATTGAATCAGGTCATACGTGTAAAGTGACAGACGGGTGATGGGGACATGTAAAGTCCTCTAAAAAATAGTTATTCCAATAGTCACATACCTTTTATTGTAAAATGCTGTTTCAGCCTTGGCTGCACGTAACTTAAGCATTGGTACTTTTTGAGGAAAAGAGTCCTTCTCAAGAGCAGTAACGTTGAATATACTCAATTAGCATACGCTTTGGATAGACTAAAACCAAAACTTCAAAGCCTTAGTTGGCTTGAGAACGACACCAGATTTAGAAAATGAGTTAGAGAAGATGAAATAGAAAGTAACACATTTATAGAATAGGCACAGGCCGCGGAGTATTTGATGTACTTCACTACTTCTGTGCAGTTTAGTTTGATACAGTCAGAGAAACTATCCATATTTTAAATGGTTCTTTGGCATCTTAACATAAAAAACATTTGCAAACAAACCAACAGTGGGTGGGGGTGGAGAAAGGCTGAATGATGCTTTGGGTCGGGGCCTGAGGTGTTAGCAGTTAACAGGTGGATTGATTCGGGCTAGCCTACCTTTGGGTTGGAGGCATTCACCTGACTGATGGAAAAGCAACCTTGGGTAAGTCACTTGGACTCGGGGCTCCTGAGCCAGATGACAAAGCAAACGAATGTCGCGCTAGTCTTTTCTAAGTGTGCTATTTCTGACTTGTCCTAACAACCACATCATTCAATAAGTGATTTCGTATCTGTGTAGATAAGTTTGTTCACATAACATGAGATGTATTTTCAGGGTGATGTGTGAGGAAAGCCTTTGGTTCCTTGAACTTAAGCTCATGAGTGCTTCGGTGTCCGTAGGGAGGTCTTTCCTTTTGTGTGAATCTTCAGGGCACCTGGCGGTGTAGACTACCGTTCAGAGTCTTTGGCCTGTTCCAGTGTTTTTACAACCCTCCTACACTGGCAGCTCATAGATGGTGGACCGAGATGTCTATACCACAATTTTCTCTTTCTTGATGATACATAAACTATGCCCCTGTTACTGTGTCCTTGCACCTCCATCGATAACATTATTCTGTCTTCAAAATTAATTTTTCAGATTTTCAAGTTCCCATGTCTGAAATTAGTCTGGCAATGAAAGTATACTCAGAGTCAGCTCTTTGAAGCCGGCTGTATTAGTCCACTTGATTATTTCCTAGGGGGAAATTCTTCTTGTAACTAAAAGAGGAATGCTTTGCCCATTTATCAAATGACTAAAGATAGCTGGGGAGTAAGTCTGCATGGAATGATCGCTGTTTTCGAAAACCCAAATAATGTAAAGTGTGTTGTTGTTGTTCTGTGGCAGGGCTGTTCGGCAGCCCCGCGCTGCTGCCACCCCATGAGTTTCCTCCTCGCTTCTTGTTCCGAACTCGCCAATCTGTGTGTGAATTTCTCTGCATTCGTGATACCTACGTGACTTCCGTAGCTCTGACAAACTTTAGAGAGGAATTTTCATCGTAGAGCTTGTATATTTTTGCCGTGATCCATTGTCATCTCCTTCTCGGCCATGGTACTGGTGCCCCATGCTCTTTCTCAATATTGTGATAAAGTTAAAATTTTTCCTCTTAAGGCTCTTGTGATGAAGCTGGTTCGGGTCCACGATGAAAACTCCGCACGTTTTCACTTTGCGGAGCTAAACTCAGAACGCACTGAGCTGTGCCTCAGTGTCTTTCCCATTAGCCTTTTTCTCCCAGAAACCATGCCGTTCATTTAATGCTTCATCACAACTGAACTGCAGTATGCAGACATGGGATGCAAAATGAGCCATTTTTGTTTTAAAACAGATTGCAGATGAAAGGAAACCATTCATTTCTTGCTTGCTTGCTGTAATTACTAATTACTCCAAATCACTGACATCCAGGGTCAGGAAGGATGACAGCAGAAACCTCAAAGAAAAGATGGGGCTCCCTTGCTGTGACAGATTTTCTGTATTCCCCAACCACAGTTCTTTTTTTTTTTTTTTATGGCTACTGTTTTCCAGTTTGATGGTGAACACAACAACAACAACAACAAACACACACACAGTCAAGATTGCTGAATGTTTACTATTGTTTCATCCGCAGTTTGACGGTGAGAACATGTATATGAGCATGACAGAGCCGAGCCAGGACTATGTGCCAGCCAGCCAGGTGGGTTAATTAATCTTCTCTGCCTTGTTTCAAATTGTAATTAAACAAATTCAAAGAGTTGCCTTGCAAATGAGTAGCGCTATCAGTAACTGCCGCAATCAGGAATAATCATAATTTATAAACAAAGCATTTAAGCCTTGTTTCCAGTTAATGAGATAGAGCTGATAAAACACTGGAGTTGGCATTTGTTGAAAGATACTACCTTGTTTCCTCTCCAGAATGGCAAGCAGCTGTTTCGCCAGCATGATCTTTCCCAAACAGTTGTTTTACCTTTAGGAAATAAAGTCTTTACAGGTGCAGGTTATTTGCGTTTCTGCCTATAGACGAGTTAATCATTAGAAGCTACACATGTCACAGATAGCTTTCATTATCAACTATTGGGGCAGCTGTCAACACAGGCCTACATTTATAACCAGAATCACAGGGGCCGTGAGCACTGTGCGGCTGCCTTCAGCCTCTACTGGGCGGGTAGCTTTTACGCCAAAGTGCATGATGTGACTGAAATCTTTCAAGAGCACACGTGTGGCCATTTCACTAGGAATGGCTGACAAGGTATTTAACTGTGAAAAGTGACGACAAAGGCCCAAAGAAAATGTAAATGGTTACATTTATAAAAGTGGATGCTGGGCTATTTAATTTTAGATACGTGAGACCAGGCCCTTGAATCCGGTGAGGACATTTAAATAAAGCCAAAGTATAACTGCCCTAAAGTGCAAGCATAGCATCATGCATCATAACAGCGTAAACGAAAAGTAAGTGAATAAATGAAGACAAGGGAGAATTCATAGGAGCATTTTGTAGATTCGAACGTGGTTTTTTTTTCCTGGAATAGCAGCAAAACCATGGCAGTTTGAAGTTTCAGGTATCAGTAACTGTGGTATAAACTCCGACCTAGGAGTTTTCAATGCCTGCAAAGCTGTCCAAAGAGATTTGATAACGGGTGTGGGTGTGGGAATGGAGAACGTAACTAAAACTTCTATTTTGCTTCGTGCTGGCTGTCAGTGAGTTAATCCAATGTATACGTTAGGGGTGCACGCTTTGAAATTTCTCTGAGCGCAGAACATCTCGTGCTTAACTCAAAACAGAGGCCAGCCTGCCTCTCCGTGAACTTTGCATTTAGAAGTCATTATGATCACTGCCTCCTCTGGCAAACATTCTGGAAACTACACTATGTTGTTCAGACGAGAAGGTCATCGCTGAGTTCAAAGATCCGGACTCCATTTCCTTCCATTCAACTGAGTTGATCCCTTTCCGAATACCTTTGGAAGGCTGAGCTTTGCATTTAGAATCCTTAACTTCACTGAATTCATTCAGCTAAGTAGCCTCCGAGATCCATAGGTAGTTCTGAATAGGACTGTTTGATTAAAAAATGAAAAATGTTACTATTAATTTTCTCCTAACCATCAATCCCCAAACTGTACTGACAAGTTTAGTATTACGATTAGATTAAAGCAACCCAGTATCATCTCTTTGGTGCCTTTAGGGTTTTGAAGTGTAAGGGCTAATTGAATTTGTTTGAAACAGTAGAAACACAAACTCAATAAATGATTGCTGTTATAAAGCAGCTGCTCCCTTTCAGAGAATCATTATGTCCGTCTTAAAGACTTCTGGATAAAGGATTGGAAATTCAAAGCATATACATCATAACAACTTGGCTCCTTAGATTTTAAAATTCAAGTACAATAGATACTATTCAGCCCTGACTCGAATCAAACAACTATTTCAATCAGGAGTTACTAAGAATGTTTTAAATACCAGTGATTACACACATACATACTTACATACCTACATATGTGCGTTAATACATACCAGTGATAATTTATGAAAGAGTAAAGAGCCCCAAATACTTTCTGTGCTTCATAGAAATATGGCAGGTTTGTGTGCCAGAAGCAAACTATTTTTTAATAATGTAGCATATATAAAAATGTTTCTAGAATGTGCCATTTTAAAAATTAGACTAATGCGAGATAATACATACTCTACTGGGGAATAAACTTTGCAAATGACATAAGTTGAATGGCCTTAGCTAAATTTTTCATTTAACATCCCTTTTGTTTACTGTAATACAGTGTGTCCAAAAATTCATCTTACCTGGTATTCTTTTAGGGAAGCTTAATCAATTTAGCCTTTTCGGCAACCATAAATAGGAGTTTAGTCATCTTACAGGGAAAAAAATAGTTTTATTCCTCTTCCTACATAACATCAAACATCTGCATAGTTTAGTAATCCAAAACAACTTGCCTCATAGCATCACTCAACAATTATAATTCCTGTTCAATTTTCAAATCAGTACATGCTCTGGGACTTACAGACTAAGTTGCTAAGTAGCAGCATATGGTTCACTACTGCTCCTGTGATGTTGCTGCGAGCAAATAGCATAATTCTAAACTTGAAATGATTTTTATAGAAAGCCAATGCTGGAATGTCTCCAGAAATGGAAGTACACTGTAAAAATTAATGATATTCTTTTAGACAGTCCCAAAGGGCAATTTGGCACTATCTACTGCATACATTCTATACCTCGTAAGCTAGTGTAGACAAATCCTTAAAATTTTTTTTGCATATAATTCTGTAATTGATAGGCAGCTTTTAAATTGAGTATACTACCTTATAATAAGCCTGACAAATATGCAATAAAAACCCATGACATTTCTACCTCTCCCTAGCTCCAGTCTTGGAATATTGACTATTTTCTCCTCTAATAGCTAGCTGTGAGTGTGCTGGCCACTCAGTGCTTTACTTCAAACACCAGTTCACCTTTTTCTTTCTTTTCTTTTCTTTTCTTTTCTTTTCTTTTCTTTTCTTTTCTTTTCTTTTCTTTTCTTTTCTTTTCTTTTCTTTTTTTTTTTTACCATTACTGTGCATTGAATTTAAGCAGGTGATGTGAGATTTCTTTGTGTGTTCCCAGGCCCTGGCTAAGGGGGACCATGTTGCTTGATACCTCATGAGCTTGCAGATTCCCTCCCGAGTAGTTTGTGGGAAGTTGGGAACCTGTTACAGAAAGGAAAGCCAGACATGAAGTGTGGCCTTCTTTTTTATTTTTAACCTGTCATGTCTGATTGATCACTATGGCAGAGTAGAGAAGGGCAAGGCTTCCCACCTTAGCTCTGACTCCTCTCTGGAATCTTCCAAGCCCACACAGATTCCCATGCTCTGAGGCCTCTTACCCTGAAAAACACTCAAGCCCCTTTCTCCAGCTCCTAGAATTACAGTACCTTCAGTAGCTCCTTATACATGATTCTACTCAAGATATACGTGTTCATTTCAATTAAATACATCAAAGGAAGTGGAAGAGGAGTCTGGTTCTCTTGACCCAAATTCTCTGTGGCACCAAGGTTATTAATTCGTGTTTCATTTTGAATATGTGCCACTATTTTTCCTCATTCTTTCTTTTTCCATGGCAGTTTCCAGAATATCATTTTCCATGGCTACCTGTTCATTCTGAGCTCCCCACTCACACTGGCAACATTTCCCCCAGGTCTCTGGATGCAGGAGCATTCTCATGCATGCCTCTGCTGGGGTGCTGTGTGAGAAAGGTTGAGAAGGACTGATCTTTTTTATGCAAGAAATAATCACTTGATCGGGGAATCACAAGGTTTTTCTGGTGTCAGGTCTTAGAGAAGCTTAATACTCAAGAAAGCTACTTGACTGAACATTATTTTCAATAAATCGTATTCTCCTTGACCTTGGCTTTTACTCTGCTAAACTGTTTCCTTCGGTTTGGTTTCTGTCCCTACTACTTTCCTTTATTCCTTCCCTCCTCCTATTCCTCCTTTCTTCTTCTTCTTTTTAAAAAAATATTTTAATGTTTATTTATTTTTGAGAGAGACAGAGACAGAGCATGAGCAGGGGAGGGGCAGAAAGAGAAGGAGACACAGAATCTGAAGCAGGTTCCAGCCTCTGAGCTGTCAGCACAGAGCCCGACGTGGGGCTCAAACCCACGAACTCTGAGATCGTGACTGGAGCCAAAGTTGGATGCTTAACCGACTGAACCACCCACGCAACCCCCTCCTTTCTTCTTCTTACTCTCCTTCCTTCCTCCTTATCCATGAATACCTGTCCTTTAAACTTGAACCAATTTTTACGGTTAATTCTGAGCATCACAATAAACCCTAAGTATTAAATGTCCTGACCTGAGATCTGATTTTGGATTATTTTCAGTTTGTGCAGTTTTCCCTCTGCTTATTTTCTTTTCCCCCATAGAAATCCTGTCTCTTACCTGGTCCCTCAAATCTCAAGATTAAAAAAAAAAAAACAATGATTAGGGCACATGGGTGGCTCAGTTGGTTAAGCATCCAACTCTTGGTTTCAGCTCAGGTCATGATCTCATGGTTTGTGAGTTCGATCCCCACATCAGGCTCTGTGCTGACAGCGTGGAGCCTGTTTGGGATTCTCTCTCTTCCTCTCTCTCTCTCTCTCTCTGCTCTCCCCCACTCATGCTCAGTCTCTCTTTCAAAAATAAATAAACATGAAAAAATGACAATGATAAAATAGATGCAATACTATTTTTTCCTAGAATCTTAAAACTAAGCATTTAGCATACCTTCCATATCACATATTTTGAATAGAAAAGTCGAAGGGCATCTAGATATTAAGAGCAGCCTGCTCACATGAGTTTCAGGTTTGATTTCTAACTCTACTGGGCACCTGTTCCTGATGGCAGCTCAGACTCAAAGTATTAATTCATCAAATCAAAATCCATCACCTCCAACCTACTCCCTCATCCCTCAAATTTCTTATTCCCTATATTGCCTCTAGTCATAAGAGATAGCACTACACTACACAGTTGCCCAGAGACTTTGAGTGTCTGCCTTATCACTCAACCCTGAGTGAATCTCGGAGAGCGTTGATTCCACTTTTTTGGCATAACTTTTGAATCAGCCTCTTCTTTCCTTCTACATTATTACTGCCTGAGTCCCAGGCTTCACAGTGTCTCATTAACTTCCCCCCGCTAAAGTCCCTTCCACCTTTCCATTTCTGTCGTCCCTGTTGCCGAATGC